CTATAAATGGTTTCTATTTCCTCAAGTATGCAGCAAGGCCACAAGCTGAAAATGGGGAGAGGTTGGGGAAAGGCATGTGAGTGATTTGCGGGAGAGAAGTGAAGGTGTGAATGATTAATCCAGATGACTAGCTTTTCCAGCCAGTGTTGAGTGCTCCTATGAGATCTGACATCATAACTGAAAACCAGCCAGCCCTGTTGTATGATTTTTCTCCAGTAATATTTGTTACTTGGTTGTAAGCAATGAGAAAGTTGGTTCCAGCAGGGTTTAGTGCAAGCAAGGTTGAGGTTCTTCCAAATAAGAAAGATAGAGACATTGGGGTAAGAGAGTTAAAACAGTTTGTAAAAGAGTGGTTACAAGAATTGATTAGGGAATCTAAGTCAGATGAGTTAGACATGATTATATGATTGCAGAAGCAAGATAATAGATTTTTTGAACGTGTTGGAAGTCTCAATTAGGTCAATGACAGTATAATAAATGAGCCAAAGGGAGAAGGATAGCAATTGACAACGGGCATTGCTTGAAATTGAGATTTAAAAGGTAAAACAGCTATTGATGACAAGGTTTAGATTCTTACCACTGGAGTGGATGGATGTGATGGAATAGAGCAGAGGTTCTCAACCTGTGGGTCGCGACCCCTTTGGTGGTCGAACGACCCTTTCACAGGGGTCGCCTAAGACCATCCTGCACATCAGATATTTAAATTACGATTCATAACAGTAGCAACGTTACAGTTATGAAGTAGCAACGAAAATAATTTTATGGTTGGGTCACAACATGAGGAACTGTATTTAAAGGGCCAGAAGGTTGAGAACCACTGGAATAGAGGAACAAATTTTTGGAGATGGAGGGATCAAGCATCCAAGAGGCCAAGTGTTGGTGGTGTATGGGTCATCTGTAAGAATGTTGAATTCACACACAATGTAGACAAAAGAGATGGTGAGGAAATCCTAGAGCAAGGAGCAACAGTCTATAATTTCTGAGGGAGAGTGGCCAAGAGGTTGATAAATGACAGCAGTAAAGATGGTAGAGGAGCCATGGCCTTTGTGCCTATGTGGTTAGAGCGTCAACCCGTGGACAAGGGTCCTGGGTTCATCCCTGAAAAAAAGTAGTGCAAGGGATATACTGATGTGCCGGGGTCCAACCCCAGCGGGTCCAGGGGTTCCCAAAGGCGTAGATGGAGTCGGCGAAGAAGGATGGACACGGAGACAGTGTTCAGTTGATCAGCAGCCTAGCCAGGATCTCCAGCCAAGTTCTGGTCTGGATCTCCAGAAAAGTTCTGCTTCGGATCTCCAGCCAGGTTCTGTGTCCATGTTCTCTTGCTAGGTTCCCCAGCCAGGATCCCCAGGTTCCCCAGCCAGGTTCGGTCACCAGATTCCGTAGCCAGGTTCTTCAGCCAGGTTCTGGCTAGGTTCTCCAACCAAGTTCTGTAGCCAGTTTCTGTCCAGGAACTTTTGCCATGTTCTCTCCAGCGAAGTTCTTCTGTCTCTAGAGAACGTTCTGTGTAGGTTCTGTGCCTAGGTTCTGTCTCTCTTGGTTCTGTGTTCTAAGCTCTGTATTCTAAGTTCTGTCTTCTTACATCTGTATTTATACCAGTTGATTCCAATCCTATCAATCTCTATTTCAAAGGTTAGGGCGTTTCTTATCTCCATTCCAGGGAGTAAAGATTATGTAGCTTAAGCATGATTGTTCGTAGTTTAAGTGATTAATTACCCACCTGGCATTTAGTTAAGAGGTTTTATTCCCTCCCTAACTTCAGGGGAAAATCCCTACCTGGGGAAACAACCTTTCTCAGAGAGGTGACCTTGGTTAAAACACATAGTGCCAAGAAGGTGAGCAAACATATTAAGAACAGTATGCCATATATGCCAGGTCCCTTGAAACAGCAAGCATGGACCGGCTCCCGGCACTGATGCACCTAGGATGATACCAAGTCTGAATTTGATAACTCGAGTTTGTGGATGATGTAGAAAGGCAGTCTCTCTGCCTGATAGCTTATGACATCAACTCTGTCTCCTGAGAAATGTAGAGTCCACAAGTAACCTGTTGATAAGTGTCCCCGGAAAAGAAAAGGTGAGATGATCAATAACAGGGAATGAAAATGATGCTTTTGCTCAGGGAACACTTCAGGTTCGTAGTTCTTTGTGAGTTATCTTTAATACTGGCCTGTAGGGCACAGTGCTACGTCTATTTAAAACAACTTTCAGACGCAACAGGTAATATATTTCTTTTTCTTTTTTTGCTTGTGGCAAAAATAGGATGAATTACTGCCTCTAAAGCTTACACTGTCTGGAAAATTTCTGATGCAAAGGCCCTATGGAAACAGAGTTCCGGTGTAGTCCCCTCGGGTGATTCTCTCGGGTGGCGCTGTGGCCCCCGCATTGTACTCTCCTCACTTTATATGAAGGGAGAAGAATATTATCCTTAAGGGTCAGCCCGCCACCTCCTCTGAGGATCCGAGTCAGCAACCAGCTGCCCAGGTATTATCAAACCATAAGCAGCTTGGAGACCATCCCAGCCAGATCAAGTCTAGCTCTGGTGACTCCGACACTTTTCAGCGAGAATAGCTAAACCTACCTCTTCAAAACTATTAGTACAGGTAAGCCGGAGCCAAACTTTGCAGGGTTAACGGTTTAGCAGGACAGCTTGCGGAGATTATGCTCAGTACTTTGTTGCTCTGCCCACTACAACTTGAGACTACACTGGAAGAAGTGACCGACCTGCGGCAGGCACCGTGCACCTCGGACCATCCTACACGCATTCATTCCGCTTGTGAGGTTACCAGCACTGCAAGCGCTTGGTCCTTTGCCACTCAGTGTATTCAGTGAAGCTTGCTAATTAAAATACAATATTGAATTAGTGTTACTAAGTTTAATACTATTGCTTAAATATATGTAAACACTGAGGTTTGTAGAAAAAAATAAAATATTGCTGGGGTCCAGCCCCAGCAGGTCCAGGGGTCCCCAAAGGCGTAGACGGAGTCGGCGAAGGAAGGAAGGACACGGAGATAGCGTTCAGTTGATCAGCAGCCTAGCCAGGATCTCTAGCCAGGATCTCCAGCCAAGTTCTGGTCTGGATCTCCAGCGAAGTTCTGCTTAGGATCTCCAGCCAGGTTCTGTGTCCATGTTCTCTTGCTAGGTTCTCCAGGTTCTCCAGCCAGGTTCTGTAGCCATGTTCCCTCGCTAGGTTCTCCAGACAGGTTCTGTAGCCATGTTCCCTCGCTAGGTTCTTCAGCCAGGTTCTGTCCAGGTTCTCCAGCCAGGTTCAGTCACTAGGTTCTAGTCAGGTTCTCTTGCCAGTTTCTGTAGTCAGGTTCAGTCCAGGATCTTTTGCCATGTTCTCTCCAGCGAAGTTCTTCTGTCTCTAGAGAACGTTCTGTGTAGGTTCTGTGCCTAGGTTCTGTCTCTCCTCGTTCTGTCTTCTTACATCTGTATTTATACCAGTTGATTCCAATCCTATCAATCTCTATTCCAAAGGTTAGGGCGTTTCTTATCTCCATTCCAGGGAGTAAAGATTATGTAGCTTAAGCATGATTGTTCCTAGTTAAAGTGATTAATTACCCGCCTGGCACTTAGTTGAGGGGTTTTATTCCCTCCCTAACTTCAGGGGAAAATCCCTACCTGGGGAAACAACCTTTCTCAGAGAGGAGACCTTGGTTAAAACACATAGTGCCAAGAAAGTGAGCAAACATATTAAGAACAGTATGCCATATATGCCAGGTCCTTTGAAACAGCAAGGATGGACCGGCTCCCGGCAAAATATAAAATTGCCTCTAGGAAAATAGCCTTTCATGAAAAGAAATGTCTCCTCCTCTTGAACAAAATAAAATGATTTAATCCACAGGAAACATTTTCAGTGAAAGCGTTTGAATCTACTCGAACTTAACCATGCAGAAATCAGATAAACGTTTAAAAATCACCTCAAAGCAGCTTATAAACTAGTTTGGAGATCAGAATCTGGGTAAATGATTAAGACACCCTAGATCCAATCTCAGCTTCTTTCCTTTCTTGGAAGAAGGCATCGTGAAATATACAAGTTCTTAAGAAATACAGATATTTGCCATCAATGGCATTTCTGAGGAGGATAGTTTAATTGTAACACGTTCCTGAGCCTCTGCCAGGTTTTGATTTGATTCAGTGACTGGTTAGGGTTTCCCGGCCTCCCCATAGTCCCTGGGCATGTTAACACCGAGCGTGTACCCACCTCGGGAATCGTAAGCCGCCCATTCAGGCATGCCGAAATGTTTCCTTTCGTTTTGTTGGATGATTAAACGTCAGGTTTAAACTATGGTCAGATACAGGTGGAGGGTAACTCAGAGACGGCTCCCAACAGAAAGACAGCGGAACCCCAGCTAACTGCCCCAACCTCCAGGGTCAGAAGCAAACGGGATACTTGACAATACAATTTTATCACAAATTCAAGGGCAACCTGAAGTTCCCCGTAGTCCAGGTCCGGCTTTCCCCGAGTTTCGGGAACAAAAGAAGCGACCCCAAGCCGAGACGTGAAGGCGTTGGTTGGTTTTACATTTACTCGAAAGTAAATCAAATCAAGGGCGATGCGTGCCCGCACACCCGCCTCGCTTCTGCTCCTTCCCTTCGGGGCTAGCGGCTGGGGAAGGAGGGGCTGCGGCTATTCTTCGGCGGGTCGTGTCCCGAGAGTGAGGCAGGCCCGGCCGCGGTTCCCGCAGCTCAGCTCCGGGGCGCCCGACCCCGGGAAGGAAGGCTCCTTCTCCAGTCGGGAAGGGGGGGGGAGGAAACGGCGCACAAAAGCAGCCCGACTGGTTCCTTATCAGCGTCCAGGGGAAGGGTGGGGAAAGGGGAAACAGAAACGGGCCGGCGCGGAGCTCCCGCCCGAGCGGCTTTTAAACTGCGTTTCCACAGCCTCTCGCAGGGCGCCGCGGCTAATGGAACCCGCGCGAGGCGTCGGGCCAATCAGCGCCGCGCTTCCTCCGGCCGCCGGCCAATGGCGGCGCGCGTTCTTGGGGCGTGGGCGAAGCAGGCTGCTTTCCTTGGCTGTCGTGTGTGGGCTGGGGTTGGTGCGGGCTGCACTTGGTCCGCAGTTCTGCGCCGGGGGCTTTTGTGTCCGCCTTTTGCTTTGCTTTCTGTGCGCGTTTTTGTTTTGTTTTTTCTTTCCTCCGCGCGCTGCTCCCCAGCGGAAGCCGTGAGGCTCGGAGGCAGGAGCCCTCACCCCAGGCGAGGAGCGAGCGCGCAGCGTGAGCACCAGAGTGACGGCTGCGGGGAAGGGGGTTCGCCGCCGAGATGCCGGAGTTCCTGGAAGACCCCTCGGTCCTGACGAAGGAGAAGTTGAAGAGTGAGTTGGTGGCCAACAATGTGACGCTCCCGGCGGGGGAGCAGCGCAAAGACGTGTACGTGCAGCTCTACCTGCAGCACCTCACGGCGCGCAACCGGCCGCCGCTCGCCGCCGGCGCCAACAGCAAAGGGCCCCCGGACTTCTCCAGCGACGAGGAGCGCGAGCCCACCCCGGTCCTCGCCGCCGCGGGCCGCGGCCGCGCCGCCGTCGGCAGGGTAAGGGCGCCCGGCCCGGGCCACAAAGGCGGCCGTTTGGCGGTTGTCGCTCCCCTCCGCGCGCTCGCGGTCCTCCCTCCTCGGCGCCCCCTCGGGCGGCGGCGGCGGCGGGGCTGGACGCGGGCCCTGCGCCGCGGGCTTGCAGGCCACGGGAGGGGAGGGCGCTGGAGAGGAGAGCCCCGGAGTCGGGGCCGCAGGGCTGGCGTCTGGGCTGAGTGTGCCTGGGAGGCGTGAAGTTCGCGTGTGCGCGGGGGGCGGCGGGCGCGCGGGGGGCTCGGAGTTGCTGGACCGGCCGCCGCGACAGTCTTCGGCCGGGGACTGCCGAGCCCTTTTCGAAAGCGCTTCGGGGGGGTCAGCCCGAAAGTGCCCCGGGTTACCTTCGAGCGTTTTCCCGCTTTCTTAACTGCGGTGACTGGTAACCGAGTCTCGGAGCGCTCCCTGGAGGGCAATTTGTGCATACTAATTTCTAACCAAAATTTGAAATAAATTCCCGCCTTTTTGTGTGTGTGTGTGTGTGTGTGTGTGTGTGTGTGTGTGTGTGTTTAAATCTGGAGGGCTTTTTGAACCGTTTATGTTTTTCTTGTTTGTGTTATTCTTTTCCAGTAACAGGCTGTTTTGGTGGAGGGCCTTAAAATGAACATTTAAAAAGACGCCATTAAGCGGTTATCTTAGACGCTCAAACAGTTTAAAATTCTGGTTTTGGATTTTTTTGGTCAGTTTTATAGGAGGAAAGCAAAGACTTAGGCTGATTGAGACACGTTTATTTCATGACATTCTGGTATGTCAGTGTCACAGTTTGGAATATCTCAGGTTGGCTCCAGCAAGTGGATAGTTTGTTTGAGAACAGTTTGGGGGTTTTGTTCGGCGGGTTTCTATAGGTGGTTTTGCTGGTAAGAATCTAGTTACCAGACTTCAAATCCTAATAGAATGTAGTTCAAAGTAGTGATTGATGTAAGGGACAGTGCTTTGTAAGACTTAGAATATTGAGCTTGGAGCTGTTGCTACTAATTATTGGTATAACTCAGAAGTACTTCTTTCGAAGTTATGTTGTTTAACTTCAGTTTTAAAAGATCGATCTCATGTGCTTTCTGGACTACCCTATAGAAATGAAAGAAAGATGTAATAGATACATGTAAATTTAATTGAAAATCTTAGCCTGGGCTTTCAAGAATTGAAAATCTTATAACTCAAGCAGTGCCTGGAAAATAGTAGTACTAGGTCTGTATTTGTTCAATAAATAAACGACTGCTGGGCCGGAATGGCTCAGTGGTTGAGCGATGACCTATGAACCAGGAGGTCACGTTGGATTCCTGGTCAGGGCACATGCCCGGGTTGCTGATGGGGTTGCAGATGGATGGGTACCAGAGGCAGCCAGTCAATGACTCTCATCATTGAGTCTCAGTCTGTCTGTCTGTTTGTCTGTCTCTCTCTCCCTTTCCCTTCCTCTCTGAAATAAATAAATATATTTAAAAAAATAAGCAAAAAAAGACTGACCTTATTGTTTCTGATGTCTTGTTTTGTGGATTTGAAGAAAGCCACTTGACTCTTCCATAAAAAAGAAAACCCCAGAAATTTACATTTGAAGTAAAGCATATCACTTACCTGTTTTTCTCCAGTCGCTCTGAAAAAGAAAGTAATGCTCAAACTATTTCAGTAAAGATTTGGCTGAAAATGAAATGTTTTCCATTTAAATGAGCACACTTTAAAAAAAACAAAACAGGTCTTCTATAGAACCCTATCCTGGTGTGCAAACATTTTTTTTTTTTAATATATTTTTATTGCTTTCAGAGAGGAAGGGAGAGAGAGCTAGACATGTCAAGGATGAGAGAAAAATCACTGATTGGCTGCCTCCTGCACCCCCGCTACTGGGGATCTAGCCCGCAACCCGGAACGTGCCCTTGACTGGAATCGAACCCAAGATACTTCAGTCTCCTGGCTGACACTATCCACTGACCCAACCGGCCAGGGCCAAACATTCTTTTTTGTTAATTCTTAACCGAGGGCCAAACATTCTTTTTTGTTAATTCTCAATGGAGGATATTTTGTTGTTGATTTTTAGAGAATTGAAGGGAGGGAGTCTGGAAAAGAGTTGGGGGTTAGCAGCATTGTGGTGAGGTCGTCAGAGGGACATATTGTTTGCCTCCTGCAAGAGCCCGTTCAACCTGCAAACCAGGTATATGCCCATGTCCAGGAATCAAACTTGAGACCCTTATGTCCACGGGCTGATGCTCTAACTACTGAGCACACTGGCCAGGGCACAAACATTCCTTTTTTTAAAAAATTATGTTTTATTGATTTTTTACAGAGAGGAAGGGAGAGGGAGAGAGAGTTAGAAACATCCATGAGAGAGAAACATCCATCAGCTGCCTCCTGCACACCCCCCACTGGGGATGTGCCCGCAACCAAGGTACATGCCCCTGACTGGAATCGAACCTGGGATTCTTCAGGCCACAGGCCGACACTCTAGCGTCTAGCCACTGAGCCAAACCGGTTTCGGCGAGCATAACATTCTTTTTTAAAAAATATATTTTATTGATTTTTTACAGAGAGGAAGGGAGAGGGATAGAGAGTTAGAAATATCAGTGAGAGAGAAACATCGATCAGCTGCCTCCTGCACAGTCCCGACTGGGGATGTGCCCGCAACCAAGGTACATGCCCTTGACCGGAATCGAACCTGGGATCCTTCAGTCCGCAGGCCAACGCTCTATCCACTGAGCCAAAGCAGCTAGGGCGAGCATAACATTCTTGAATGGTCTTGCTCTGGTCAGGATTATGAATTCTTACCAGGAAATATATGAAGACATGAAACAAAACATTAAAAAGTATGCTATGTGCCCTGGCCAGTTTGGCTCAGTGGATAGAGCATCAGCTCTCTGACTGAAGCATCCCATATTCGATTCCAGTCAAGGGTATGTATCTCGGTTGCAGGCTCAAATCCCCCGGGTGGGAGGCAATGATGTTTCTCTCTCTGTGTCTCTTCTCCTCCTTTCCACTCTCTAAAAATCTATGGGAAAAAACCCACCGGTGAGGATTAACAACAAAAGTATGCTAATGGTGCTACATATTAATTAAATCATAAATTGGCCATCAGACTCTACAATAAGGTGTTAAGTGTACAGGCTTCTGAATCAGGGTTATAGATTTAAATTCTAGGTCAGCTGCTTATTTAGATGACTTTTAATGAACATTGGCCATTAGATACTCAGTTTTCATTTGGAAAATAGAAATAATCTAATAGCTACTTAATTACGTTAAGGCTTACAGTAGGTTGCATTTCTGAAAGTATCTAGTGCTCAGCAATTTATACTACTACTACTACTACTACTACTACTACTACTACTAGTACTAGAGACCCGGTGCATGGATTCGTACACTGGTGGGGTCCCTCGGCCTGGCCTATGGGGGATCGGGCCAAAACCGGCTGACATCCCCTCAGGGGTCCTGGATTGGAAGAGGGCGCAGGCCAGGCCGAGGGACCCCACTGGTGCATGATTGGGGCTGGGGAGGGACCACAGGAGGGTTCCAGGGCATGCCCGGCTTGTCTCCCCCAGCCCTAATTGGCTGGACTCCAGCAGCAAGCTAACCTACCTGTCGGAGCATCTGCCCCCGGTTGTCAGTGCGCATCATAGTGACTGGTCCAGCGAAGGGTCGGACACTTTGCATATTAGGCTTTTATTATATAGGATAACATGATTTCTAAACTTTTTTGTTTCTATTTAATGCCAGAACAATACAGTGTTACCATAATATATTTTTCAGAATTGGGTGAGGTAAGTTTGTGAAAGTGATGTATACATAGTCTATTCAAGTGTTACTATACAGCATATTATGCAGAATGCCTGAGTTACCCATGCAAAAGTGTACTTAAGTTTTCTCTCGTAAAATGGGAATATTAGTATCCATCTCATAGGATTTTTAAAAAAAGTATCTTTATTGATTTCAGAGAGGAAGGAAGAGGTAGAGATAGAAACATCAATGATGAGAGAGGATCATTGATTGGCTGCCTCCTGCACGCCCCCACCAGGGATCCAGTCCGCAACCCGGGCATGTACCCTTGGCCAGAGTCAAACCTGGGACCCTTCAGTCTGCAGGCCGACGTTCCATCCACTGAGCCAAACTGGCTAGGGCTCATAGGATTTTTATTGTTCATTAATTTTGTACATACAAGGTACTTAGAAAACAGCTTGGTATATAAGTATTCACTAAAATCTGTTTCATAACAATAATTATTATACTTCATCTTTACTAATGGTAGTGATTTTAAAATAAGTAACTCTTAGGTGATACTATACAACTGTTGGGTTTTATTTTATTATTATTTTTATTGATTTCAGAGAGGAAGGGAGATAGAAACATCAATGATGAGAGAGAATCATTGATTGGTTGCCTCCTGTACGCCCCCTACTGGGGATTGAGCCTGCAACCTGGGCATGTGCCCTTAACCAGAATCGAACCTGGGACCCCTCAGTCCGCAGGAGGACGCTCTATCAACTGAGCCAAACCGGCTAGGGCTTATTTTATTATTTAAAAATATATATTTATTAAATTGATTGGGGTGACATTGGTCAACATGAACATACAGGTTTCAGGTATGGGTTTCTATGTTAGAAGATCTGTATATTACACTCTGTGCCCACTACCCAAAATCACATCTCCTGTCACCTTATATTAGGACACCCTTCTCCTCCCATCCCAACTGTTGGATTTTAAAGTTGAAAAGGATATTAGAGATCACCTGGTAGTTGGGAAGAAACTGGAGAACAGTGCCTGGCACTTACTAGGCACTGAGTATTTTTGACTGAATGAAACTAAGAGATTAACATGATTTAATTAAAAGTAACAAAGCTTTCTGAAGACAGGAATCAGTACAACTAATGGTTTCTTCCTCACTGAAACTGCTGGCTTGATAATTATGTATACCACACTACCTGTCTACCAATTTTTATTCTTATTAAAGTTGACATTTCATAAAATGACATTACTTTTCTGAAATTTTCCTA